ATTAGGATGCAATCACACCGCTTACCCGAAGCCGAAAATATAGAAAAAGGCAAAGTCAAGGGTTAAATTCATCAGTTCTAAAGAGAATGCACTAGCGAAGTAAAGTACTGCGGTTTACATAATTTCTGAGTAAGCTATTCGTACGAATTGAAATAATTCTTGCATTTAAACTTTTATACAACTTGAAATTAATGTAGATAATTACTGAGAGAATTAGATTTTTGTTGCGTAGCTTACGTGAGATGAGATCACTTGGGGTCACGTGATATGAACTGGCGAATCGGGATGTTGAACAATGAAAGCATAGTTAATTCTTAAATTAATGTTTTTTACAAATTTATATTCTTTATTTATTGGATTTTTACAAAAGTTTAAACGATATTAAAATGCTTATGCCTTTAAAATAAAAAATTCTTAAGAACTAATATTTGTTAACATTTTTTTATGTACATACTGTATGTTGTCACCAATAAAGTCTGCTTGGTGAGATTTGCACGGCGAAACGGAAAAGTACCAAAGATTTCCACTTTCATTTGTAAAAAAAGTATAAATAATAATGCATAAATTATTTTTTCCCAGGTGAAGTAATTTTTTATTGTTAATATTTACTAATACAGTAGAATTCCAGAAATCCACAAAGCTTGGGACCAGAGGTAGTGCTGATTTTAGGATTTTGCGGATTTCAGGACGGAAAAATACATAATATTCTGACTAAAAGTGCAAAATGAATAAGGTGTATTAGATACATTTCATTAAATTATTATATGCATTATTGCAGTAATTTATTATAAGCATTAAATTATTATTACATATATAAATCGATTATATTATTCATTGTATTATATCTACACAGCATCGAGGTTTGCCGATTTCGCCTCATGCAAAGATTTCCGGTGTTAGAATCACTGTCTCTGTAAAATTTCAACAGCTTTTCTTTTTTTCCGTATATCATATGCAATCGTGTCGCAATTCCTATAAATCAAGCTATAGCACCTGCTATAAATCGAGCAGTAGCACCTGCTTCCATCTTTTGCAGAATTTGCACTTACCGTCAATGCAACGTGTTTACGTCTTTCAACGTTTGCAAGCATGCATTTCTTATCTGTCATTGTATTAAAAAGGGCTGAAATTAAAAATATTCTTAATTTATCTACAAAATATCCGGATTAAAAAAAAGGCAGCACTAAACAATCTCGTGAAATGAAATAAAGCTAAGAAAATACAACAACGTGAACTTGAACAAAGAGTTGAGTGAATCGTCTCCTTTTTCCTCCATGCAGATTAAAGGGGGAAAAAATTTATCTTATTTTTTTTAACTTTTTTTATATCAATAATTTGATATTTCCGTTTTGACCCATTATTATTCGGTAAGTATTTTTTTCTTCAATATTTCGTACTCAATGTTGCGTTTTCCGGAACCTATAAACTGAATGTTTATATTCTGAAAGGCAACGCGGATTTCAGGTCAGTGGATTTTCGGTATTTGACTGTAACTTTTTATATAACTGTAAATAATATAAAACATATTAAAAATTGATTTTAACAAATTTCTTTACACAGTATTCTTTCACAATGCAGTCATTTTGACTGCTTTCGGGCAATATAGGTACAGTCAAATACTGAAAATCCGCATTGCCTCTCAAAATATAAACATTAAGTTTATAGGTTCAATAAACCGCAACACTGAGTACGAAATATCGAAAAAAAAATACTTGCTGAATAATAATGAGTCATAACGGAAATACCAAATTATTGACATCGTGATAAGTTTTTTTCTCCCTCTAATCTGCATCGAGGTAAAAAAGCAGATGATTTACTCAAATCTTCTTTCAAGTTAACGATTCACGTTGTTGTATTTTCTGAGATTTGTTAGTTCACAAGATTATTTGTACTGACTTGTTTTTTTATTTGGATATTTTGTGAATAAATTAGGAATATTTCCAATTTCAATCCTTAATAAGTTATTGCAATATGTATATAATAATTTAATTAAATGTATCTAATACACCTTATTTATTTTGCACTTTTAGTCTAAATATTATGATTTATCTTTTCTGTCCAGGAATCCTAAAATACGCACAACCTCTGGTCCCAAGCTTTACGGATTTCTGGACTTCAACTGTATATACTAAGTTTCAGTCTTTCTAGTATTAAATTGCTTCGTTTTTGTGCTAATACTTTCTCTTTAATTCTGTAGACCGACATAATTTCTTGTCGAGTAACATTGTTGAAGTCCTGTAATTGCTGTGTCGAGAATTCCGATTAACTTCTCAATCAATATTTTTTCATTTTCAGTATCCTCTGTCACTTATCATCTTCATTTATTACCGCTTCTCCACTTTCCTTTACAAAATCTGTTAATTGGAAAATTTCACCTTGTTTTGTGATATATGAAAACCTTTAAAATTAGTGGCTATCATCATCAAATTTAGCTATCCTTCACTATATATATTTGGTTATGCATCATGAGCTTGGTGACTAATGACAAGTTGTTTTGTTAAATTTTATCTTGCTTCTATCTGTGCACCGCAACGTTTAAGCCTGAATTGTATTAATTATATTAATGTCTATTTCTTGCACATGCTTAAGGCTTATACGAGTCCTGAATAAATAAATCCCCATATATACTTAAGGCTTATTGAGGGCCGGCGCTAGGTGTCTAACAGCCTAATGTCCTAATGTCTGTGGGTCCTAAATTCTACTACCAAGTGCCTCCTTTTGTCTTATTTAAATTCTGCTGCCTGGTGTGGGCATATATATAGAGAACCCTAGTGTTGGTTTTCTTATGTGAATAACAAATCAGTTATTCTTAATTCAAATAGCACTAAATATAATCTTTGGGTTTTTGAGTATCATCAACAAAATCTATTTTTAGCATATGGAAAGAAATTTTTGGTAAATGTTTCCTTGTCAACATTTTTTAGTGCATTTATTATAAATCTGATCATCACCAAGCATAATGTCAATGTAAAAGGTTATCATACTCCTTTATTGTTCAGTTACTAACATAAAAAAATTGTTTAGGCATCGCTATATGACAAAAATTGTTGATATAAAATTAAGAGTCATTACTCAAGTTGTCATATTTTGATAAACATGCGGTTATGAAAAGAAAGTATAATAATGATTCGCCAGGTTGGCGTCAGATTAATGATATATCTATGTGGAATGTTTCGGTTTGAGATGTGTGCCAAGCAGATACGCAGCAACGGAGCCAAATTACTGATCGTACAAATTTATGCTAAAATGATTGTTTCTTCAATAACAAGGTATTTTATTTTACATTGAAGTGAAATTAATAATCGGGAATCTACAGATATTTTATTATGCGCAGAGGGAGGAATCAAATGCAAATACGTAAAGCCTAAGAGAAAAACCGTTGTTGGTGGTTTTGAGGTCCGGAATTTAGATTGTTCCGGATAATGGACGTCCGGAGTTCAGACTTTGTACTGTAATTGCTGAAATAAGTGTTTGCTACTGCTCTTCTGGTTTTTTTAATAGACACTACATCCCAATTCCCTGTACAGTGAATTAATGCTATATTGCAATCTAATAAGCAATGTATCAAAATGAATACATTACTGAAATGTATTGGTGAGCCACATAAAATTGCTTCAGGGACTGCCATTTTGAGACCTCTACTTTAAGTTATCTTTATTTTAAAAAAGATACAGATGAAACAGTGTTGGAGCTTTACATTATATAAAATAAACCTGACTCTTACAGAAAGCAGAGTACCCACGATTTCCAACTCTTAAGATAAAGAAATATGAAAGCACAGTCAAAAGTCTTTAATTCGGATTCGTCGGGACTTCGGCGATTCCGGATTATAGATCATCAATTTAAATCTGGCAAGATGGCATGCAGAAATTATAAAATTAAAAATATGAAACCATAATTTATGAAATAAAGAGCAATTATGATCTAAAGGGGATCAGAATATAAAAAAAAAGCTTAATATTTATTTGTTTACTTTATTAAACATTTCTTTCAACGCACACATGCGTAAAGCATACATTACACATAGCTGAAATTAGAAAATTGCAACCAGAAAACTATTTGATGTGTATTCGTGATATTTATAATGACGAGGAATTTGATTTAAATCATATCAAAGACTGAGTACATAGAGATGAAATACTACATTTAGTAAGGAATTATAAGCCGAATAAAACAAAAACATCCGCCTCCGAGGTTCGAATCCCGCGAACGGGCTGGCAGCATGGGCGTTTTCGTGGTTTTCCCCATGTGTAACGTGTATACGAGCCAGTTTCCCTTAGAAAGTCCTCCACGAAAGGCATCCCTCCCCTCAGGCAGATAGCCCTAGCGTGCTTTGCCATAATTAAATACACACACACCAAAAACATCTGCCCTGAAGATAAGGATAGTGCTGACAAATCAACTTCCAGTTCATTGTGCGCACAACATCCCCCCCCCCTCGGCAAAGCAGCGTGAAATTAATAAACAGATTTCGGAATGGGTAGAGAAACAAAGGGTATGCCTTTATCCATTTTTTGCAGCAATTCCACTTCTTGTTTGATGGACATCGAAACATGCTTTAGCTTTGTAGATCCTTTGGCAGCTCCAGAATTGGAAATTCTTTTCGACATAATCGAAAGTTCAAGCTTACTTTTATAAAATTGCTCTATCAGTCTGCAAAAAATAATAAGCCAGATCCAATTCGAAGATTAAGGAACAACGCAATCTGCAACATTAACTGAAATAGATAATTAGATAATTTTAGCTTAGCTTATACCGTCCGTGATACATTAAACGCATATGTGTGTGCGTAAAGGTATTATGTGCATGCGCAGAATGTTTGTAGCTTTGAGGTCCAGATTATAGATCATTCCAGATTATGGACGTCCAGATTAAAGACTTTTGACTGTATTTGATATATTTAACTTTATAATTTTCAGAAACGTAGAATTCTTTCAGCTATATTTATATTTTTTCTAAAAGTTTAAGAAATATCTTTACATACTTCTGCAATTTTACAGAATAGCTCCAGGTGGTGTAGACGTTGTCCTTGATTGTTTGTGTGGTGAAGATGCAAATAAAGGATACAATCTGCTAAAGCCCATGGGCCGTTACATATTGTATGGTAAGTTTAATTTTTCTAGAATTTGCTATGTTCAGCTTTACTGGGAATTTTTCAGACTTGTATATTTCATAAATGAGTTCTGAAAGATAATTATAATGTTGTCTTAAAATTTTAATGTTAATCATGACTGTTAAATTTTTCCCTTGATTCTAATTTATGGAAGAATTTGTTTCTTTGTGAAACAGTAGTTATGCATGTTTTGTTACAAGAGTTCCTTGGTTGATGATGAAGTTTTAAAGGGGGTTTATGATAAGGGATCAATTGGGACTTGATGGCCAAATATACATCAGCATATGGAAGATCCCATGCATTATAAAAAATGTATTAATAAAAGTTGACACTTCCTACGTGAGATGGGGCTTTGATATTGAATGAAGCTGGAAGAACAGATGACATTGGTGAACAAAGAACATGTGTGAGTAAAAGTTTCATGACAATAAACTTTTCCTAATATAATACTTATCATGTATAGATAATACCCAGTTAATCTCATTAAGACCCAGTTAATTATTCATTTGGATTTAGTGTGCGTGTTCCCTTAGACCAGCAGCAACTAACTAAGCAACTTATTCTGTAAAGAGAGTATGAAAAATGAGAGAAAATTCACATTAATAAAATTTATGATTAATATAGTATATTGATACAATGATACTTTATCATTCAAAAAAATCAATTATTTAAAACACATGGGCACACTTTTTCGAGATATATCCCAAAATTAAGCTGTTACTGGAAGAAAAAACATTGACGTACCCACATTTTATCTAGTGAAAACAAGCTTTAAATGACTTATATTAATTTAGAAGTCAAACAACAAAAATCAGGATTATATTTGAAATTTTCAAAGGACTAGTTTCGATGATTGTACTGAACCATCACCCTCAGATGCCAAAGTGCAAATGGCAGCACTTCAGTGAAACCATCGAAATTAGTCCTGAGAAAATTTGCAAATATAATGCTGGTTTTTGTTGTTTAACTTCTAAATTAATATTTGTTTGGTGTGTTATCTTAAACTAAATAACTTATAACAGAAAACAAGAAACAGATTTAATATTTCTGAACAAGGTGATTTAAGAATTAAGCTAAGCAATTGTGTGCCAGATATTCAAAAAATTGTGTCTATGCATCAAGCATAGCCATCACATTAATTAAAATGAAGCTTTTGGTCAATTAGAATCCGATTTTTGTTTCTGAAAACTTGTATTTTTTAAATTAAAAGTAATAAGAATACAAAAAATAAGTTTAATAAACCATTTTATTTAAAACTTTTATTCGTATTTTAGTGTAATTATTATTTTTAAGTTTTGTATGAATAATTAGTTAATTAGTGTTATGATCATGTTATATGCTTGGAGAAAAATGCAATGGATTTGATGAAGAAAACTATTCTTTTAGAAATGGTCAATGCAAGGAAAAGGTGGAGAGTCCCTGTTTTGCAACAATGTTATTTATCATTTCATTATATAATTCCTAGATTTCAAACTAAAAAACATATTCATTTCAGTACATCTTTAATCAGTTTTTGAGCAAGTAATATTCATCTGTAAAAGATGCTGGAAATGATATTCCCTTTCCTAGATGACAAAATGTTTTTTAGTTTTCTTTACTTATTGAATATCTGTTTTCAAAGTTATCTGAATTCTTTGCAAAATAAGGTCTTTTAAATTGCCCAAAATTATCTACAGATGATAGTGTGCGTTCAAAGAGACCATATCTGCTCGTATGAAACTAGTTTCTTCTCTAGTAGGAAATTTCTCGCACTAAAAAGATTCCAAATCAGAACATCAGCTTGCTTTTTTCATACTTGCCTTATATTCAAGAATGATTGTTTCTATAAAATTAGTTGTTCGGATAACGTAGCTCTTCTGAGAAAGTGTCATTAAAGTCTCTGAACACTGGTAGTTCAGTCGTTGGTTCGAATCCTGGCAAACGAGCTGGCTCCATGGGTGTTTTCATGGTTTTCCCCCATGTGTGACATGTATACGAGCCAGTTTACCTTATAAAAGTCCCCCACGAAGGCATCCTTCCTCTTAGGCAGACGGCCTTTGAACGTTTTACCATAATTAAATAAACCAATAACTGCTACTCCTTTGCTCATCATAACTCTCAGCTCTTCCACTAGATAATTTACATTACCAATTTGTTACATTTTGTTGATTCGTATTGTTGCTATAAACAAAACATATTTATCCATTTCCAGTAGGCCCTCATTTCTAGTAAAAAATTCATAAATGCCTACATTTTACTTCTGGTAAGATTCTGGATTGCTGCAACTAACTTGAATAAATTTTATTCATCTGAACAAAACTGCAACAATGTGCTAATTAAATGTAAGAATAAAGTAACAGGTTCAAAATCTCTGGCTGTTTTGCCACATAATGTAAAATCTTTCTACCAGCTGGCAATGGGTTCTTACTTTTTTAGATATGATAATTAGGAATTGAAAGCTTGGCCTTTTTATTTAATGAAATCAAATAAGCATACTTATAAGGTTCAAATAAGGATAGGTTAGCACAAATAGGTTAAAAATTCAAATAGGTTAACACGTTGAGCACGGCGCTGGTCCCTAGGGATCGGCATTGAACTTTCCATGTATCCGGCTTCGGTTCCTGGGGACCTGCAATGAACTTTCCATGTGGCTGGCGTCGATCCCTGGGGACAGGCACTGGAAATTTTGTATGGCTGGCATTGGTCCATGGGACCGACAGTATTAAAGTTAAAAAATAAATATAGTCTCAATGAAATGTGATCAAATTTAGTTTTAATGAAATGTATTGAAACATTCTAAACAAAAATACAGCTTAACTCGCTGCCGGCTGAACGTAAAGGACAGCAAATTCGCTGCCGCGCTCAACATGTTGAGAAAATCATATGCCACAGCTTTCAATTATCCCTTGGACATGTAGTAATCTGAGAAATAAAAAATTGAATTGGTAGATAAAAGTAAAATAGGAATTTGGATCTGTCAAATAAAGTATGCTTTAAGTGATTTTACAAATACATCCAAGTCACTCACCATTTGATGTTTTTGGGGCTAAACTTATTCATGTTTATTTTATAGGTAATTCTAATATAGTTACTGGTGAAACAAAAAGCATCTTCAGTGTTGCAAAATCAGTAAGTATAAATTTTTCAATGATTTTTATCTAAAATTAGACTACCTTATTAATAAGTATATTCTTTGCTGTTTGAAATATATTAGTATTAACATTTCTGTACTATATACATTACTTTTTCCTCCCCTTCCTTTAAAAGTGGTGGCAAGTTGACAAATTAAAGCCTATGAAACTTTTTGATGAAAACAAGTCAGTGTCTGGTTTTCATCTGAGACATTTGCTTTACAAACAGAATGGTCATGATTACGTCAGAAATGTAGTTGAGAAAGTTTTTAAACTTTGGCTGGATGGACAAATAAAACCAATTATTGATTCCACTTACGCTTTTGAGGATGTAAGTATTTCTTTTTAATATGCATACTGTTAAATTATCAATCTTTGAATTTATTTATAAAGAATTCTTAAGTGAAAACTTTGTAATTTTTAAATTGTTTTTAATTTCCCCTGTAATTGGCATTAAATTTGCTTTTTTTATCTGAAGCAGATTTTGTATGGTTCAGAGGTTTTCTGTAATAGTTTTTAGAATAGTGTAATACGTAATACTAGTGGGTTGCATATAACAGTAAAGATTCAGGAATTTTTAACAGTTATGATATAGATATTTTTTACTCGTATTATTTGCTGATAGTTTATATTACTAAATGCCACCTCCTTTGCTCATGAGAGCCAATTTAAGATGTATGTTGATATTATGGGCTGTACATTGTCATTAACCAAACTTAAAAAATGCATCCTGTAATAGATTATTTCAAAGTTATCTTTTGTTATACTTATTGAATTAGAACATGACCCTAGGAAAGTTAAAATAACTCCTTATTAATCTCACAACTAAGCAATTAATAATCAGTAATAATTTAATTTGCTTCATTGTGTTATATAAAGCAAATGTTAATGAAACTTGTGTAATAGTTTGATGGATATTTATTAATTTACATTTTGCATCTATTGAAATTAACTTATGTCATTACAATATAGTATTTAAATATATTTAAAAATCTTGTATTTTTGTCATTTTTGAAATAATGCTTCATTAAAAAAAAAATTAGGCGCTTAAAAACAGCTGCTAGTGTCATCACTTGACATTAGTATTTGAACATGTGTGTCAGTAATCAATTAGGCTTCTGCTTATATAAACTTTTGTAACTCCCCAGTGAATATAATTTTAAAAATTATTTTTCTCAAAATTTAAATGTATGAAACATTTTTTGTGTAATTGAATGTTTTACTAAAAATGAGATTTTAATATTCAGTTTTTTAATTATTCATGTCATTAATCTAAAAAAAATTCTCTCAAATTGATTTAGGTAAGTGTTCTGAATACCATTTTGACCCTACTATACAAGGGGAAAATTAGTAATTTATAAATTTAAAATTTGTGTCCAAATTTGTTTTAAACAATCTCATAAATTTCAGCATTTAGTGTATTCATGTAAATTTTATTATTAGTGTGTTTTTTCACGTAAAAAATTATTGCTTTTGAAATGAATTGATTACTAATAAACATTAATTCATTATTATTTAATTTATAAAAGAGTGAATAATAAGATTTTTCAGAAAAAATGCATCCCTTTGATTCATGGGTTGTAACTATTCATAAATTTATGCGAATAGTCTATGTGAATTCATAAATCTTGTGAAGGTTTGTTGATTGAAGCTTAATACAAGTAGTATTTTATTTCTGGTGGCCTAATAAAATTGCTTGTTTCTTGCAAACCATTTTGAGTAATTATTTTTTAGGAGTAAACATAATATTTCGTTTTTTATGTGTTGCTTTTAAAATGTTTTTCCCCCTAAGAAAGAAATTATATGCATTGGCAATATAGGAGTAAAGCAGTTGCTTACTTAGAATTTTAATTTAAATTAGTTATGCAAGTGTAAAATTAAAATAACATTCAAAATATATATATATCTGATTTTTAGCTCAAAAGGGCTGTTAGTCTCGAAATGGGATTTGATATTGAGCCAATATAAGTGCATCGTTTCACTTTTGATTCGGTTGTCATTCGGCAGAATGTAAGATATTTATCTTTGTCTACCGTTGATTAACTAACTAAGCTGTTTGAAAGCAGTAGATGCAGTTATTAACCCCTTAACTATCATGGAAAACTTACAAGATTCATTTCCCAGTGCCGCGGTTTTTCACACATGCATGCGTAGTTATGCAATGTAAATTAGGGGGAATTAAGTGCGAGTTTTTACTCTTTCATCCACAAATAAAGAATAAAAGAAAAAATGAATGCACAAAATTTAATGTTTTGAGTAAAAGTATAATAAAAAGGTCCCTAAAATGGAGTTTCGGTCAATTCAATTTTAGACCAGTAAAGTGTAATATCAGGTTTCAGTGTTATACATTGTGAAATCAGTATGCCTAAAAAAAATATTTCTTCTGAAATGGTTGAATGCCACGATTTTGTTCTTGATATTTCGTTTGCAAGGTGTTGGTTCATATACTCGTCTACAAAATGGTTAGTTTCAGTAACAATATGAAGCATGAGCAGTTCATCAAAAAATAATTCAAAAAAGATAAATGGGTTTGAAACATCCATTATATCTTTCTTTATTCCTGGAACCTACTACGAAAAGTAAACAAAAGTGGAGGACACAGAATAAAAACGTTTTACTCAAACAACACCAGCCAGTACCGCGCAGTCATTACTTTCATTGCTTTAGACACACCCCTCTCTCTCTCTCCAATTTCTCCCCATACTTTTCTGAAATAGTATCCTCCTTCGCATACTTTGTCAAAGTGTTGCATTCCAAAGCTTCGCGAATAATTTTATGGGTAGCAGCACAAAGTAAATGATGGTAGTTTGGAAGGGCATATATATATGCCCATGGCAGTTAACGCAGTTGTCATGGTGTTGCATTCCAAAGCTTTGCGAATAATTTTACAGGTAGCAGTGCAAAGCAAATGATAGTAGTTTGGAAGGGCGTATATATATGCCCATGGCAGTATATATGCCCATGGCAGTTAACGCATCGGCCAAGCAAGGCGTATATATACGCCCGCAGCAGTTAAGGGGTTAAGAATATTAGTTTCTTACTTTTGAATAAAAATTTATTTAAATAATAAAAATGCATTTAATCCATGATCTAACTAAAAATATTCAATATTTCCATGGCATTATATATTTTAAAAATTCCTTTCATGTTTTGTAAAATTAATAAATTGATTAACAAACTCAATATTTTGAAAGCAGTAGAAACGTTGGACCTCCCCCCCCAAAAAAATCTAGCATACGAGACTATTTATCAAATAATCTAAATATACACTGTTTTTAAATAGTATTTTAAATAGGCAGAAGGATTATCATTATATCCAGTTTGAAATTTGTTTCTAGTTTTCTTCAGCCTGTGGACCTTTTTGTCTATTGAATTGTAATTTTTTTTAAATGTGAACTTAATAGCTGGTTAAATTCAGTGCTTCAAATTAGAATTTAAATTCACTTTTAAAAATTGAATAAGTTATTAAATAGATATTTTGAAATTTAAAATTTTGTTTTAGAATATAAAAGTTTCAGATATTATATTTTGAATCTATTTAGATACCGGAAGCAATGCAAAAGTTGCACGAGAGGAATAATATCGGCAAGGTTACTATTGATCCAGCCATGGAGCCTAAGCCTAAACCTGTGGTGAGAACAATTTAATTTTTATGCATGTATTATAGTCATGTGGCATAAGCTGTTATATTTACTCCCTGTTAGCATTGATGTGAGCTAAATGAAGTTTCCCCTTTTTCATTTGTATACATAATCTCTCAAGCATAATCTTATTCGTCTATTGCATATAGTTACATTTGTTAAAAGTGGTGATATATTCTGTTCTGACTCATCAGAAATATCTCGCGTTATACTACCTTTAGTTTAGTATAAGAGCTAATTATTTATATATATATATATATATATATATCCAACTATATGCTGGGAATTTTAATACATTCCTTCACACTCTTCTGTGTCTGCCGCTTCTTAATTGTGCGTTCTCTAACAGCGGCTTTCTTGCGACGCTATCTGTTGGCAACTTGCACTTTAGTTCAAAATGTCCATGCAGGTGCTCATGTTCATGATAGCTGCTAAATAACTGTACTGAGCTGATTTAAGCAGTGTATTTCTGTGTTTATAGCCTGTTTCTCACCAAGCATATATTTTGAAACTTGAATGTAAGTTGCAGTTTTTGTTCTTACCCAACATAGGTTGCAGATATTAAATCTTCAACACACAGCTAAGCAGCCTATAATTATATAAACAAAGCATGACTGTATATGTACTTGTGAAATAGTTGTTACTTTACACTCTCTCCTTTTTGAGAAAACTTTCATTTCGAACAGTGGTCTCAAATTGCATGTAGACTGAACGCACAATTAGAAAACAGCTCATAGGCCACCTTTTTTTTAACAAAATGAAAGTGAATTTGTATGCATATTTAATAATTTAGAAAGATTGATATCCTGGTAATTAAATAAAATGAAGAAGAAAGCAATTCTGACAGATTTAAATATTCATTTTAATTTAATTGACATTTCCAGCTATCGATAACTTGGCTCATTAATTATCTGTTCTTTTTTTATATTGTTAAGGTAAGGAGAGAAGTGCAGCAGACTCTAGATAGGCCGAGGAGCATAAAGCAAGTGAGATATGTTCAAGACAAAAATTTAATTTGGAGGGAATTTGTTTCAATTTTGATATAATTTTGTTTGCCTAAAAAGTAACTCTCTAAAATTATTATTGGTGATTGTGTTTCAGTTCAGAAAATGGCACTAGTATTATGTAAAAGTCTTGATATGGATTAATCTGGAAATGATACACTCCAGAGAGGTTTATTATAAGCAATTCTATCAAGGACGAAAAGGGGAAATATCTAGATTAAAATAAAGGTAAGGGTGTGGATAAAAGTTATTCTGATTTGCTCCATTTGTCTTGGCGTGTTATTCACATTCTTTTTGATGGTAATGAAAATGAAGTTGAAATCAGTACATCTTTCTTCAAACTCTTGTCAAAATAATGGTAATGTTTCTTGTACAATTTTGACATTTTCTATTTGAAATATTAGGGTAGATTTTAAGATTTTGGTTTTTTTTTTTTTTTTTTTTTTTTTTTTTTTTTTGTAGGTGCTGTTTAAACTTTTTAACCCTTTGCACTCGAGCGGCGCCAATAGGGCCCCCAGTCAATTTGAAGTGTGAACTCGAGCGGCGCTGCTATGCTGCCCGAAAGATTTGAAGCCTTAAATTGAGCAACGCTGCTACAATGCTATGGTCTTTTGTAACTCGATCTCCTTATTTGCAATGAGATATTTTTTTCGGAAGTACTTTCGTGGACTAGGCTTTGCTGACATTGTAGCCAAATCTTAGCTCAGTTTAGTTAGTTACATAACTATTATTAATTACATATTAATTACTAATTACATATTATAGTAACTAAAAAACTAATTAAGGAGTGTAGTATTTATCAAACTTTGTTGTTTTTGACATATAAATGAATAAATTGGTGAAATTTTATTATTTGTATACGTTTGTTTTGTTATAAATGTTTTTAAAGTACTTTTAAAATGTTTGCCGAATATGGCCGAAATCGTCTTGAGTTGCTGGTTCACGCAAGCGAAAAAGGCCTTGAGTACAAAGGGTTAATACAAGTACGTACGTCAATATTCTTTCCAATTTCTTACATTTATTCTTTCCTTATAGCTCTTTATTGTGAATGTCAACAGGAAATGCTAAATATGCTAAATGCATCATTCATTACATCGGAAAGCTCTTCTAAAACAACTCCTTGACATAACTACCTCACCAAGTTATGTAAATAATTTCTCTGTGCGTTCACATTCAATTTCTTCATGCAGTATAACAAACTTCATGATTCTGGGCTCTTCCACAGATAAAGTTTTATGTTTTAATTAAAATTGCCATTTGCAAAATGTTCTAATCATATTTACAATAAATAAGATGGATGATATGGACACTCCTCCTGCTGGTAACGAATAAATAATTTTTTGACTAGTACTAAAATGTATTTGCAGGCTGTCAGTTAGAGACCACTGTTTGAGAATAAAAATTTAGTACTTAGAGTATATTCTGATATACATTTTTCCCAAGTAGGTAATAGTTCATATAAGCATCATTTTTCTTTTTCTAGGTTGAAAGCAAAAAAGGAAAAGAAAGGAAAGATTCGGTGAAAACTGAAAAGAAAACTGAGGAAGAAAAATCACAAAAGACTGACGATAAGGACACTCCTGCTGGTGAGGAATAGTTTTTTTGCTAAGTAGTATAAAGCAAACTGTTCTGAAATTTAAATGCTATCTGTATCATCTATATGAAGCATTTCGATTTTTAAGCATATATATTGAGTATTAGAAAATCAAAGCTTTGGACAAATCATTAAATAATTTATGAATTTAAAGAAAGAGGTACTCCATTATTTTTATTTCCTTTTATCCTTTTTTTATTTTTTTTTTTATTTTATTTTATTTTATTTTGAAGTCCGTAAAATCATCATTATGTAGACTGATTTAGCAGTATCTTGTGACCCTCGTATGAAGGAATGTAAATAATAAAAAATAAATTCTAATATACAGTAAGTCGTTAATCCGGACTCGTGGGATTCGGCGATTCCGATTATAGATCATCAGATTAAATCTGGTAATGGCATGCAATTATAAATTAAAATATGAAACGTAATTTATGAAATAAAGAACAATTATGAGCTAAAGGGTATCAAAATTACAAAAAAAAAAAAAAAAAAATTAATATTTTTATTTACTTTACTTTCTTCGTATCGGAAGCGAATTATAATGACAGGAATTTGATTTTAAATCATACAAAGAGGAGTACATCGAGAGAAATACCACATTTAGTAAGGAATTTAAGCTGAATAAAATAAAAACATCTGTCCTGGAGATTAGGATAGTGCTGCCAGATCAACTTCCAGATCATTGCGCGCCTCGACATCCCCCCCCGCACAGTGCAGCGTGAAATTGATAAACAGATTTCGGAATGGGTAGAGAAACAAAAGAGCCTTTATCCATTTTTTGCAGCAATTCACTTTTTGTTTATGGACTTTGGAAACATACTTTTGCTTGTAGATCCTTTACATATTAGTAAATATATATCGGGAAATCTGTTTCACATAATCGAAAGTTTTAAGATTAATTTTATAAAATTGCTCTAACAGTCTGCAAAAAATAATAAGCCGAATCCAATTCGAAGATTAAGGAACAACGCAATCTGCAACACTAACTGAATTAGATAATTTTAGCTTAGCTTATACCGTCCGTTATACATTAAACGCGCATGCGTCAACGTATTTTGGGCATGCGCACACGCATATTCGCAGCCGTAGACGCATGCTCAGAAAGTTTGTATCTTTGAGGTCTGGATTATGGGTGTCCGAATTAACAACTTTTGACTGTATATTGTACTTGGAGATGTTTACAAAATTCATATCTGTACGAATGTTATGTTAAAGAGTTTCACTGTGTAACATAAATCATCTGTAATTATATCCATAAATTCAGTAATGGGTTTTTAGAATTTCAAAAATAAAATATAAATTTGGGCAAAAAAGATTTATTGTCAGAAATGTTGGTTTGGTTATATTTTAAAGTCTAAATGTCATCTGAATTTTAAAAGCTTTTTGATTTTTAAATAATCTTTCTAGGGATATAATGAAAAAAATCACCATTTTTTATAATATTTTTGCAATGTGAATTTATGATTTTTAAAATATTTTGTTCTGAAAAGATCTGCATTTAACAAAGCACTTTGATGTTCAATAAACTGATTGCCGTTTTGAATTTTAAATAATTTAATGTTAGCATCTTATAAATCGGCTAAATATGATATAAAATGATTGGGATGTTGATTAGTGTGTTTAATCTTGCATTTCTGTTCATTCGATCTTCAAATTTACTTTGCTTTGAATGTCATCTTTTCATTTTAATTGCATATCATCAGAATTATTTAATTTCAGATGTGTGTATTACACCCAAAACTAAATGTATGGCCATTATCTTAGCTTCTCAGTTTGCTTTAACTAATCCCTTTGTTTGTCAAGCCATTAGATAAGCTTCTAGTAAAACAGAATAGCAAAACTTCTATAGGTAAAATTCTAATCTTGTACATAGTTACTTAAATTATGTGGATTAAATGAATTATGTCCATGTCCAGAGAGTATCAAAATTTCTTAAGCAGTTGCATTTTATTTGGGTTCAAAATTTACATTCAAGCTTAGAAGATGTAAATTTATGCCTCTCCTTTTTTAAACAGTTTTGATATGTGTGCATTAACTAGGACCAGTTGCATGATGCATAAATAGACAAATAATATGATAGATAACTAAATCTGGTTTCATCCTTGTATTCCGTTAGCATAGGTTTAACTGCTGCATTAATTATTAATGTGCCCTGGAGCATATCGCTATAGTATAAAATTGACAATGCAGTGAACTCTCTAGTGGTGACAACCCCTGTAAGTGACTAGTATTTCCGAGAGCATTAATTATTTATGTAACCTCTCTAAAACTGTATAGAAGACCAGAATCATCTGAAACCATATGTTTCCTATTGTAAAATTTTTACTTTTGGAATTCGTAGATTTTAAACCTTATTTAACATTAATTCATTAATTCAACTGTATCCTCTGTTTTCAGATGCCAGTTAATTTTGTCATCTAAAGTTTCACCTTTCTCTATCCAACTGTGTCAATAAAACATGAAGCTTGTATGTGCTGTGCATGTTGCAGGAAATGGTGTTTAGCCCCCCCCCCTTGTGCTGTGTGTGTTATAAAACACTTTGCTCAATTATGCATTTCTTAGTTTTACATTTGCAGATCTTTTTTTCAAAATCTGCTCAGTAGTTAAATTTATACAAAATGATCTACTTTTATACAGTATTTTATTGAATAATTGCATTACTCAATTTTTTTATGAATTTTTTTTTTTTTCGAATTTTACTAACGCAATTACACGGATTTTGGAAATATTTCTATATTGACTATTTTAAATGTTTTTATACATTTTCATTTGTGAATATGAACAAGCTAATGTGGAATATAACTTCTATATTGCTGCTATACATCATTGAAAATTACACTGAAAGACCCAAATTTTAAATTAATTACACCCAAACAAAATTTGGTTAGAGAATCAATTAATAATTTTGATCCAAGACTCCACTATATAGTGAAGCATTAAATATCCTAATCTTACTTCATTGCTGTGTAAATCTCAAACTGAACAGTTGATTTATAAAAGTGATTTTTGAGAAATTTGAAAAACTTGCAAAATTAGAATGTTAATCAGTTGTTTAATAATATTCAAATGAGATTTATTCCTTTATTGCGTAGTTACATAAATTCCAAAATCAAAAATTTGGGTATATGTTTGTATATAGCATAATAAGAAATCCTTTTGATGCCAAAAGAGGAATTTTGTAAAACTTAATAAGATATAATTCTAAATTTAATAATAGCATGCAGTGAAGAATTAAATTTATTAGTCACAATTAAAAATTCAGTATAAAATTTAGCATGCAATACAGGACAAAATACAGGCATATGTTCGTATCTTAATAACTATTAGTTCAGATGTATGTACTGTATCTTAAATGATTATGTAATCTAGTTTTAAAAATGCATATTGTAAAGATTGCCATTTATTTTTCACTTGAATGATTTACGTTGATTTTTAGCCCATTATATTTTTGCTAAATGTTAAAAATTCTTCAGATCATCATACAAAATCTTTTCTATATTCATGGAAACTATTTTTGCTATTGTGATTATAATTTTTTAATCAACATTTGTTTTACTTATTTTTATAATCATATTGTGAATATAGCATTCCAGATATGCTTTTTTGTGTTTACAGTTTTTTACAATGCTGTGAAAAAAATTGTATACTGATCTTCATTTTTTACCATTATATACATTTTACACTGTAACTTTCGTAGAACAAGTTTGTCATATTTTATAGTCAAAATCATTTAGTCTTGTGATATTTTGAAGTTCCTTTTTTATTCTCAACACCCGTGCTCAACATTAACTGCATTATTTTGTAATTAGTTTTTCTACCTCATGTTTTAAATATGCCATTATGTGCTTATATATCATGTCACTTTACTATATTATTGCAGCTTCTTTTTTTTCTCCTAGTACAGTCTCATGTTTCTGTTTTTGTATTTTTATTTTATTAGTCATATACTGCTTTCATTGTAATTCATGCAGAATTTGTACTTGTTGTGCCTTGTCACTTTTTCATGTGAATGAATGAAATTTGCATTGTAACAATAAAATTATTCTACTTTATTGTTAATATATCATCTATATAAACTTCACTTCCACAACACTGAACAGTGCCACCACATCTGTAAGAGACCTTTTTGCTAAGTCATATTTTGTGCATATCCTGTATAAAATGTAAATATCAAAATGAAATGAATTTCAAGAAATGTTCATTTATTTTGTATAAAAGATTAAACCTTAAAAACAGACCATTTAAGAAAAGTTAAATTATCATAACCAATACAGTATTTCATTTGGGGATTTGTTGTTTATGTTACATATTTATCCCTTTAATTTTAGTAGAATGAATGAAATTCCCTTATATGTAACATACTGTATTGATACTGCTTATAAATTATTTTTTTATTTTTATTCATTTTAATGCTGAATTTTTTTTTCCCATGTAAAGTTAAAATGTGCACTTTTAGGAAGTGTCTGAAAATGTATGTTGTTTTTTATAATTATTTCTCAAAATGTTTATAAAAAGCTTTAAATTACGTAGCTTTAGGTCAATGAAAGAAAAGTAATACTTTTTCACTATCTCAGCATTTTTTGCTTGTAACTAAAAATAGTGGGACTGGTAACAATGACTCATTTTAAGTCAGTATTGTCAGAAATTTAAGCGATTCCAATGTAATCATTCCTTGTATGTGTCATTTTTCTGTTATCACTTCTATTTCATAAAATTCTTCTAATGTCTAAATACTTTAAAAATGCCTCACTATTTTATTCACATATTCTAAGAACATAATGAAAGATTTAAAAATTGAGAACATTAAAAAAATAATGTATACTTTTTATTACGTTTAATTAAAACAACAAAATTAAAAAAATTATATATATTTCATACCCTCTACTCTGCAGAATAGAAAATTTATTGCTTATGAATTAAGGAAAATTATTCCCTTCAATAAGCATAGAAATGTTTCAAGGTTTTGGGAATTATCTTATGATTATATACAATTCATTGAAATTCTTTTTTGAAACTTATGATCTAAAATTCTGGGAAAATTGATCAAATTTATTCCAAAAATTATTTTTGGATTTGTCTGAAAGGTTAAAAATCAGTTTTTTTATGATTAAAAGAAGTATGTGTATAGAAAATTCTAAAAAAAATGCTTTAAAAATCTAAGTTTCAAAATAATACATTTGGTAGAAGTGGGCCAAAAATGAAGTGAGAAGTGTTACAAATTTATTAAAATTAGCTAACAGATTGAAAAATCATCCTAAATCAAGCTGCATAATATCTTAGAGTTAGTTTTTTTCCCCCTTTTTTTTAAAAAAAAAAAACTTAGCTAAGTTCTATCATTTTTTTGTATCTCAAATGTCAATTTTTGTGGTGCTGAGTTTTATGTATGTATCTCTATTATATACTATAAATAATGTTTAATCACTTTATTCCTTTAATTTGTTTAGAAATAAAACATGCTGTTTCAGTAATACAAATCTTTCTGTAAATGAAGGGCCCTTCAACAGCTGACTAGTAAAGTAGCTGCACACTGATAGTTCAATCTGGATCACAGCAAACAGGCAGGCAGCCTGTTTGCTGTGATTTTCATGTGTAATGTGTATATGAGCCAGTTGCCCTTAAAAAGAGGCAGATATCCCTCACTTTGCCATAATTGCATAAAACCAGAAGCAGAACTTTCTGTAACTCATAATAGTATAATACAGCGGTGCAAAACTTCATTACAATAGGAGCCGCATGGTAAATTTGTTAAACCTAGAGAGCTGCAATTGGATTTTCCAAGAGTCTCAAATCCATATATATATATTATTTAAAAAATAAACATTCAAGTAAGTTAATGAGAATTTTGCATTTTTGTGTAATTAATATGGTTTTATAAAAATCTGGAACTTTATTTACTTAGTTTTGCTGTCTGAAATGTATATCCAAACAAATTATAAAATTGAAACAACTGTATAGTGCATTTCAGCATTATTCTTTCAAGTAAAAAACAAGCTTTTTTGGGGGGGATTCCTTTATCTTGTTTGATAATAATCCTTGTTTGGTTTTATTAGAACTGAACTGAAGTCGAGAAAATATGTGTTTGTCTTTAGAAATACTTATTGGGAAAGATTTTTCATATGAGTGAAGAGTCTATCATTTTAAAGAATAAATGTTTTTTCTTAAATGGTGACTCCTACATATCATTTTCGAAAAAGTAAAATAAATGATACAGGACATCTCGCATATCAAAGAAGCTTATTCGAAAAATAAAAATTACTTCAGAATAAGCTATTGACTTTTTCAGGCTTTTGTGTGAAAACTGTACTTTCTCACACAACACGAGGGCCAACATACTGAGATCAAATCTCACTAAATGAATAAATTCATTAGATGCGAACTGGATTATAAATTGCATTTTTCCCCCGAGAATGATACTTTCGAAACCTTGCATTTCTCGAATCTTCAGAAAGATTTCAAATTCTTAATGTCAAATCTTTGAACTATTTTCATCATTCAAATGTTCTGAACCCAAAACTAAAAAATCGTTAAATATTAATTAAAACTGTGGAGTGACTTGTACTGATGCCCTGTAAATAAGAGTTCACTAAAAAAAGATTATTGCAATTTCAGTGCTATTGGAACCTTCATTTCATTTATGCCTGCATTGTTTCATCGTAAACTTCTAGTGAAGTTAGCCGGAATTTTTAATTAATCAGTACTCTGGGCATCGCTGAAAATTTCCGAAACTATATCTCGAACTGTCTCAAAATTGTGGTCATAGATAGCCTACTACAAATAAACCTAGCAATTATATATATAAATGTATAAACATATATGAATGTTTTTCGGCCACATATTCAATCTGTATACCAGTTGAACACTTTAGCAATGGCGGTTGAATCTTGAACTGGTTTTCAAACACATCTAAATCAAAATTAATGTTATAGAAAGAAAAGATATTTATAACTACTGTAAAGGATTAATTTCACAAATATAGATGTAAAATGAAAGTTTAGCTCTCCAATTTTCTACGGACACAAATACTGGATTTGAAAATCCTTTAACGTAGCTCATCGTTATAAGCTCAAGTAGTTCCGGAGTTCTAGCCAGACGTGTGCACGTATCTACCCTGTTCTGATTGTAAACTATTGGACCTGTAAAGACAGTCAGATGACTTATCACCTCACCTTAAAGTTCTATGTAAAATAACTGATTCAGTATTTTAAAATGATTTTTTTTTAGCTGTCTGATCAAAGGTTACATTGCCTGTGTATAAAAAATAAATCTACTCAGCTTGTAGGCTCATTAAAAAAAAAAAAAAAAGCAAAGTTCAAAATGAAATTGAAATATTACATTACACAACAAAAGGAGACTACAAGCTTTGTTTAAGGCCCACAAACTTTCACCAACAGTTACGGATAGCAAATTAGAGATGAAATAAGTAACATAGCTACTAAATAAAGTAATAGTGAGATGTCAACTGTAGCTTCCAAAAGAAATCTCTTAAGAACTCTGCACTTAATTACACGACCTAATACAGATAACATTGAAAGCCGAGAAAGGAGAAATAAATATGAAGGCAAAGTAATAAGACAACACATTAATAAAAAAAATCTCCAAAGGCTGATAATATAGCTTGATCAATTAAGACAACTGCCTCTCCTGATCACTGCTTTTTTTTTTTCTGTAATTCCTGTGGATAAGTGGGTATAAGAAAATCTTCTTTTTAAGTATCCTCAAGGGGAATAAATTATAAGGTTGTGCGAAGGAAAAAAGGTCACAATTTATTGAGGGAAAGAAACGTTTATCTTCAGAGAACTAGTGGAACTAGCAGGTTTTCCATAAGTCAAATATACTGTATTTGTTTCTTTTCCCACGTAAATGAACGTCTTCGTCATAGAACGCGAGTCTGTCTCTGAAATCATCTATGTTAAATTTCATCCATTTGACTTTTCGCCAGTGATTTGTCAGATTTGTAAGACTTATTACACTGCAGAAATTTGTGCAACATATGCCATAATTTTGATTATTTGTCTGTTGGCATTTTGTGAAGCTTTAAGGCTAAATGGCACAAATGTTTTCTGCCATTCCATTATTGACTTCTGCTTCGTTGTTAACCTGCACAAGTATCAGAACTTTAGCGCTTTTTTCTCGAACAAGTCACTCCTGCCTTTGAACTATTTCATTTGGTTTTGTAAGATTGTGACAATGAGATGCATTTTTAGCAAAGTTGATTCAGAAATGTCTAAACAACGATTTCTAATAGAGTTTTTGCATAGTGAAACCCACAGTGAATTAAAATCGCAATAACAACCTTGTATTTAGCGAACATATGTTAAAATACTCAATTTCGAGGGCAGCTAAAGGTCCCTCCTCATCAAGAGAATAAAATTACTAGAAAGGGGAAAAAGAAGAGAAAAAAAGCATCGGCAAAGAAGTCTCAGAAAGTCGTGGTCGTAAGCGGATTTTGAATCGGATTACACTGGCGGCTTACTTTTACTGAGCCATGCTAGCTGATCAAACATATAACACATAGACTAAAACGCAAACAAATCAAGGAAGTCAAAAAATAGGGAGCGAGGAGCAACTGCACCTTCACGCACCAAGATTCAGTTGTTCGAGTTTCAGTCTTTGGTGCAGTTGCCCCTCGCTCCCAATTTTTTGACTTCCTTGATTTGTTTGCGTTTTAGTCTATGTGTTATATGTTTGAACAGATAGCCTGGCTCAGTAAAAGTAGGCGGCCAGTGTAGGGCCGCCGCTACGATGTGTGCGGTGTGTTCAAAACTCGCAGGCGGCTGCGGACCGCCGATCTTTAAGCAAAAAATCATACTCGCCGAGTTTATCAAGCTTTAATAACGAAAATAAGCCGAACGTATTTTTTCTCAAATTTTTATTGTATTATAGTATTGTAACAACATAAGGAAATAAACACTTGAGTTGTCAAATTTTGTTCTTTATTGGGTTATGGAATATCCGCCGATGCAGCAAAGAATTTGGATGAAAATTACGGACAACAAAATGGGTATTTTCCGACTAACATGTGTAATCTCGGGCAAAATGCACCCCCGCGCCTTCCTAGGATCGCTTTTTAAATTTAGGACCGTTGGGACATACTTTTACCAAAAACGTGCGTAGATTCAGTGCAGTTTTGTATACTACTATTTAGGTTTTCATTTTCGACCCTTAAAAATGTCTGCCAGAAAAACTAAAAGACTGTCAGGTTATCAATATAAACAAAAGAGGAAAGCTAGGCTTGAAGAACAGCAACAACAAAGCGGTGCCTTAGAAAAATATTTGAAAACTGGAAGTGATAATAGTGATATTATAAGTGACAATTCAACAACAGAAATTTCAAGAAATGTAAGTAATAATGACAATGTAAATATTGTAAATTTTAGTGCATCAACTTCTGTGGGTACCGGGTGCCTAAGAGATGAATCTGTAGTGTGCTGGGAAGCAGGGAAAGACATTTCATTTACTGAAAAAAATCATGATGTTGATAATCACGAAAAAGAGAAAAGGGAAGAATGGGAGAAGGAAAACGTAGAGCTGACAACTGAAACAGGTAAGGACATGGATGCTTTAACTACTTTTAAATCTTTAGAAAAAGACGACGCTCTTTGCCTAGTTTCTGACGATCCTGGTAATAAATGGCCTATAAACCTAACCCAGTCAGGTACAATATATAATTGAAAATTTCCCAAGTCAAGTTCAAAACATAGCATTTCCCAGAGATGAGCAAAATAAAAAATTT